AGAGAGAGAGAGAGAGAGAGAGTCCAAAAGGTTTGGGATCTCTCGCAAAATTGAGGCACGAATTGAAGGACAAAGATGTTGAAGAGAGTGGGGATCTCTTCATTCATTCATTCACTCAAACACAGGGATTGAGATAAAAGCCTAACCAATGAGGCGATGGGACGGGACTTTAAAACGTTTGATGACAGCTATACCTCTAAATTGTTTATATGTAGTTCTCTTGCACTTCAAATACAACTTCTCATCACTTCTTGCAATTCATATGGAATAATGTTTTGACATTTATTTAATGAATATCACGCTTTCAAATGAATTATAATATTAATTCGTTTGCATATCAATGCAATAGGTTTGCAAACTTTGTAACGAATCCATATTTTAATCCAAATGTTATTCCAAATTCTGCTATAAATCCGAATGTCAACCAATGTATACAATGTCCGGACCGACCATTTGTTCGTACATTAATTACTCCAAATGTGTTCAATACATGTCATATTCAGAGCTCCTACCATCCAAGACGTCTCATAGCCACTATTCCAACGATTCCCATCACATCGTCGTTAACTACAAGACATTCCTCCACTTTCACTATCGATTCAATACTCGACACAAACAATAAAATTAATTCTAAAGATACTAATTGTATAAACAGTGATAACTCTTCCATACAATCCTCACAATCAAACAATCAGACAATTGGAGTCATTACAGATGTGGACAAGAATTTAATTAATGAGACAAACGATGACAACGAAAAGAATATATATAAATGGTTGAGTTGTACTCGTTTTAAGCCACCCAAAGTTAAAAGTATGTTATTTTACTTTAAAATAAAATTTAACTAATAATATGATATTTGTAATCAAAGTATTTAACATTAGTAAATTTTAAAATATTATTATTTTTTTAAATTTAAATATTATTTATAAAATATTTATTAAAATTGTTTTATTGTTAATTATGTGTTATATTTACTTAATTAAAGAGCGTTTAGATAATCAGCCAAAACGAAAAGCCATAAACAGAGGTCCGAGAATACCATTCACTTCGTGCCAAATAAGAGAATTGGAGAACAAATTCTGTGAAACACATTATTTAAGTAGTTTAGAAGTCATGCATTTGGCCAACAAACTCAATCTCACTGACTCTCGGGTAAGACTCAAACCAATCTATTTATTTAATCATTATATTATTATAGGCTATAATTTATAGCAATTAATATTTACATAGTATATTATACTATTAGTATACTGTATGTAATTTATATTAAGCAATTAAATTATTTACGCATTGATTTTATAATTTTTATAAAACTACTCAAGTGTTGCTTTCAGTGTATTTTTATTTTCTATTTTTATTCTTTATTTTTATCTAAAAATGACTGAATTTAGTATAATTTTAAATAATTAATTTTAAATAATTTTGCCTTATCTAAAATAAATATGATCACTTTGTTCATTGATATTATGATACATGGACATCTGGTATGATGTTTGGCTTAAAACGAGCACATTATCCAAATTAAATTAATTGTGTATTTTGTACAAATATATAGTTTTTACAATACATTAGTAACGAAGGGTTAGCTAAACACTACATATCTACTGTACATCCCATTTCATCCTAAACTTACAATACAAATACTCTATAATAATCTTAAGCCTTTTGAATACGAATAGCCAACTGTAGTGATCATTACCGCTAATCCTAATAACAAATGGTTAGCAAAAGTAGTTAAACACACCATACAATGAAAACATGGTATTGTTATCTCCCAGTTTCACCTAATTTTCTGAACAGTTTAAACAAAATAAAAACATTTGGATTTTGAGCTTTCAATTGTGATTGAATTGAATCTAAAGGATATTCACTTGAGTATCGGACGGCACGACCACAAAACTAAGTCTTTGCTGAATATAGTATTTGGTATCAATTTATGTGCCATTTTTACCACAGTTTCTCTGTAATGATTTTATTGGTAATGTTTGTACAGATTTATAACATATCTATTGTATAGTCGGGCTGCAAAAAAGCCGATTATAGTTAAGTGGTTTATTCTTTCACTTTAAAGACCGGAAAAATACTATCCCTATAATACTCTACTCTATTGTACTGTAAAGTGGTGTACAGTACTGTATATCCAAACAATTTTCTAAATTCAGTCTTAATGATCAAAACTTGTAATTTTTAAAAAGTTTTATAAATAAAAATGATTTACAGAAGACATCATATAATACATAAATAGATATTTTAGTAAAAGTTGTTTTTATTTTCGTTTGTTTTTGAAGAAACGGAATATTTTCTTAAATAAAACTATGTTTCAATCAATCATATATTCCTGTATTACATGATAGCATCTGTTTGTGTCATTGATATTTTGGCCGCAATTTACTGTTAGAACCCAATATACATGTATATCTTATATACAGTATATTCGTTGTACACATTGTGTGCACAAATAGTTTTCAATTATTTCAATACATTTTCATTCAAATTATTGTTGAATATATGAAAGCGACGAATAAAAGAAGAAAAGCGAATGAATTGTTAAACAATTTTTCATATTATTATATTTATTATATCAATAATAGTATAGATATATCAGTGGTTAAGCGCAACTCTCTCTCTCTCTCTCTCTCTCTCTCCCTGTTGGACATGCATTGACATCCTGTGTTTGCAAACAATTATATGTAACAAAAACGGGACATAACAGACCACTAAATTTGTATGAAAACTACAATAACATTCAATCCATCGATCACTACATCACTAGTACTGATTCAGTGGCGGAATTCATACTTCAAACATATTTGTTATTTAATACAACAATTGAAAAATATAAATATTTTAATTAATTGTTAGTTAAAACATATATAATTTAATAACGATTAAAATAAGTTATTTTAATAAATATTCCGCCACTCGAATGCCACTGTTTACCGGCTGCCCCATAAAAGTTCAGTCACATTAAGCATCCATACAATTGGTATTGAAAAATATTAACAGCATATAAAACATCGCCCCTTATGTATAGCAAAGGGTCAATCTATAGGAAGGCGTCCGCAACAAACTGATCATCCAAACCATCCGATCCTCTCTATCATACACTTCTCATAGGAAGTCTAAAAAGTGAACGTTCGCTATAAATAGTCAATTGTTTTAATATTTGTATTCATTTTATAAGCTATATAAACTATTATATCATTCGGTGTTTTAATTTATTTCATTATTTTTACATCACTCTTATAAATAATTTATTTGTTAATTATTATAAAATAATATTTAATATATGAGTTAATTGTAATACATATTAAGATGTTTACAATGAAACCAATGACCGGTGCAATTATATCTATGTTAATAATATGTGACCGCTATATCATTTCAAACGCTCGAGGATTCTTAGACAGACCTATAGACTCTTCTGGTACTCCTCTCGTTCCCTATGGTATGTCATTTCATATGTATTTATTAAATAATTTACTTTTCATATTAACTCATTTCTTTAGAAAATATATAAATATATTAAAACATTTTATAGTTAGGAATCGATTAACATTGTATAATCTTTACATAAAAATGTTATTTAATTTCAATTTGTTATTTTATGATACATATTAGTTATTTCCTAAATTCTCAAAATGTTCACTTACGCTCACGAACTCAGGCTCAAAACTCACGCTCATTCACGACACTCACTCACGATACTTACAAACATGAAATTTAAGTTATGTTATGGTTGCATTTGGATCTCCAAATGCACATGTACGTTCAAATTTTTTAATCGTTAGATAAATATACATCATAGTTTGACCGAATAAGGAATAAATAATTAGATTTGGAAGGATTTAATGATGATTCCGCATGTTTTTCTTAATACTATTTACTACGTGAGTGACGTGAGCGGCGTGAGAGAGAGAGAGAGAGAGATAGGCTAATAAACTTTTAAAACAATTGTTTTATATTAGGTATGTTTTCCAATGGGAACAGTGGTAAGAGTCCGTTAGTGGCGGCGACCTATTATTTCAATCCCAGCTCTGCATCCGTCTCTGCGAACAGACCGGAAGGGGTTTACGTTTCCGATACGAACCCATTGAATGGAAACAGTGCTATAAGTGGTGATCGAACCGATGATAACGTTTGTTCGGCTCCCGACGGACGGAAGGGCACGTGTTATGAGGCGTCTGAATGTGTGCGAAGGGGAGGTATGCCAATGGGTCGGTGCTCTGACTCGTATTCAGGGGGCGGCAAGAATTCTGGTGCCGTTTGCTGTTTATTCGATGTCTCTTGTGGTGAAACCGCTGCCGAAAAGTTTATTTATTTCCGAAATCCCGGGTTTCCCGAAACGTACGACAAATCACGCATTTGTCGCACAAAAATAGGCAAAATATCGCCAGACATTTGCCAATTAAAGCTTGAATTTCGTACATTTGATATTGGTAAACCGACCGAGGGCAACTGCTCTCAGGATATTTTCACCATTTCAGGTCAAAATGAAAATCATATCATTCCCAAGATTTGTGGCCTCAATAACGGACAGCACTGTAAGAAAAGCGGCAAAACTTATTTCATGTTATTATAAATTCTCATATCTTTAATTTAAATAATCAAAGTATTTTCAGTGATATGTAAGCTTTATAAATAAAATAATTTATTTTACATTTATTATTTATTGCAGACTATATCGGTGTTGACGAGTCAGGAGTAGTTAGTCTTCACCTAATGATGTTGGGCTCATACCGCCGGCGCTTTGATGTACTCATCACTCAAATCCCCTGTCAATCAGAAAATTCAGGTTTGAATTTATATTATAAGTGATAAATCTATTTATTATCTTTAGTTTATAATCAAATTAAGTGTTCATTTAGTTCTCACATTAAGTATCCATTCAATTATAGAAATATTTTATTATCAAAACAATCCATCAATAGTTTAGATGAGTCTTGATTTCAATAAATGAGAGAAAGAAAGAGAGAAATGGTAAAATACTAACTATTTGTATAATATATGAACAGCTCCACCACATTGTCTGCAATACTATTCTGGAACTCATGGAGTGATGAAAAGTTTTAATTACGATTACTCTGAGGACGAGTTGAGCAGCGATAGGAACGAAGGCTATCCCAATGATGTCGATTACATGATGTGCATTAGAAAAGAGCCCGGATTTTGTTCAATCACTTACGAACTGTCCAGCGATGCCGACGGGACCCTACCCTTTGCCATTGGGTCAGGCGCTGAGCACATCACCGGCTTCTCAGCCCAGTGGCCAGTAGTGGCCGAGTGTCGGGACGACTTCATTGTAATCGGAGGAATGCGTTTGTGTTCAGGTGTCGGCAAATTAAATGTCGAAAACACAGAACTGGCAGACAATGGACTCCAGAAGTTAACGAACCGACAGGAGAACGGTTTCGGTAACGCGAGTTCAGTGCACCGGACAGTCATGACCGACACAACTCCCGGTCCCTTTCAGATCAGGTTTGTATCGAATAACGCAAAGAATGCCAGAGGTTTTCACATCGGGTATCGACAGAATCCCTGCAAATAAGTATTTCATTGATAGGATCTTATGATTAATTTCTAACTACCATATTCAAAAACCAAATATTTTGTAAACAATATTTATATTATTATCAATTAATTTCGATATGAAATTTAATATATTATTTTATGGTAATTTGTTTAATTTTTTATTAATAAACTAGAAATTATTGAATTACGACTTTTTATAATGTAATAGAAATTATTGTATGCAAACTATATTTTCCATATAAATTAATAAAGTTTGGTCTTTAAAAAAATGTTATATAAATTGTTTTGTGACCATTAAACTTAAACATATGGTCATTTGGTTATAAACATTGCTGATCAATATAAAAGTATAATATTATATTATTATAGTATATATTATTATACTTTTATATTGATCAGCAATGTTTATACAGAATTATATAAGTTTAATATTTATATAAAGTATTTAACAAGTTATATAATATAAGTTTAAAATACATTATAGTAAATATAGTAAATTTAGATATACTGTACTGTACAGTAAATTATGACCAAATTATCGTTCCTAATAGTGATAGTTATATCAATAAAACTATTTAAAAGCTATAAAATTGTTTAGTTTGTTAATTAGATTTATAATTTAGATGTTATTTTCATTATATGAAAGTAAATTGAAGTTATAAAATTTGACATTTATTTTCCAAAGCATGTAATATACAATGGAGTTGACATGTATTTTAATAGATCCACGAATACAATGTAAACATTTAGTAA